TGACTGTCAGAGCGGGAGGCTGGGCTTTCTTGGCAGGTTTTACTTCCGTGCCAGCACAATAATAGGCTCTTAAAGGGCCAGCAGCCGAGCTCCAGCCTGGCTCCCACGCAGGCCCTACCTGACCTGCCTTCACCTGCCCAGGGGATCCGGCTGCCCTCTGCCCCATCACCCCCCGCAGCCAGGCACTCATGGCAGGCACACCCCCAGCAGCGCCTCCCGCCACGAAGGAAGGGCCACGCTGCAGGTACACAGCGCCCCATCGAGGGCTCACCCCCTGCCCCCAGGAAAGCCACTGGGCCAAGCCCTGGGCTGCAGAAGGGACCAAACCCCAATGCCCAGCCCAGTGACAGGAGCCCCCGCGCTGCCCAGGCCAGTCCCCAGCACCTGCCTGGCTTGGCTCACAGGAGTCGCTCCCCAGCATTGCCGGGCTCCAGCGCCATGGGCAGCAGCTGGCACCAGCACTGCCAGGGTCATTAACAACTGGAGGAGGCTGAGCCAGCGGAGACGGCAGGAGCCCGGGGTTGATCCGCCCAGACTCCCTGCCTGGCACGGCTGTGCACACATGGGCACGCCTGTGCACACGCCTGTGCTACTGTACACAACACAGGGCATCTCTCTCACTTATGCACACACACATACACTCCTGGTAGTGAGCGCACGCAGGGTGTCATGCACATGCAAGTGTGCACACAGGGCCTCCCCCCCACACATGCTTGTGCTAGTATGCACACACAAGGCCACACACACACACACACACACTTTTGCCAGAGTGCACACACGGTCACACACACACACTGCCCAACCATGCTAGAGTGCACACACTGAGTTGCACATACTCTTGCTAGCATGCCCACAGGGTGTCTCACACGCATTTGTGCTAGCATGTACACAACACAGGGTCTCACACGTACACACACACACACACACACACACACACACACACACAGAGTCCTTGGCAAAGTGCACAGCTGCCCATGAGAGTGGCAGGCTGGCAGGAACAGGGAGCAGGGCACCAGGGCACAGGGGGGTGTGAGCCCTACCCCGTGGCTGGGCTCCCTGGGCTGGGGTTGCCATGAGCTGGCTCGGGGTCTCAGGGGGTGGCACAGAAGGTGGGAGGCTTCCAGCAAGGACTGCAAGGCCTAAGCAAGGCTGGGGGGTCCCAGGGCTCCAGTGCAAGTGCCCAGCCCCCCAGCCGCCCTCCCGGACCCCCAGCACCCACGCTGCCCCCAGGGCCCCAGCAGCCCATTGCCTGGCTCCTGCTAGGGCTGTTAGTAACACACCTCACCCACAACATTCCTCAAACCGTGAAAGACATATGGAAAGAGCGACCCGAATGCGGAAATTCATTAGAAAACCATCTGCCGAGCAGGGAGCACTTTCCCCCCAGCCCCAGCCCCGAGGGAGCTCCCCAGGGGCTGGGTTGAGATTTTTAAAGAATGAACTTTTCATACCATCCAGGAAGAGCACACACCAACTGCTGCAGCTTCCTGAGCCTGACGAAGGGTTTTTGAACCCGAAAGCTTGCTTAATAACTATTCTCCAACCATTTGGGTTGGTCTAATAAAAGATATCAAATTCACCCAAGGAACCTTGTCTGCCTTAAAGCTCCCAAGTAACTTGAGGGGCCCAGGGCCCGGCCCTCCCTGCAGCCCCGCTCCTAAGTCCCAGAGGCGCTTGCAAGCAGCTCGTCGGTGCCCCTAGCCTGACCAGCACCCGCGTCCCAGAGCTGGCTCCAGCTGGGGGCATTTTTCCCTAAGAGCAGAAGTCAAAGCTGTTCAGACTTTGCCCCTTCCCAGAGGGCCTGGCCCGTACAGCTCCCATCCTTCCCAGGCTGCTGTCTCACATGTGAAGTGAGTCTGTCAGGTGTCATTCCTAGCAGACACATGGCTAGGGCACGGAGGCCACTGTGGCCGGCACAAAAGAGCCCTTTTTCCCAGGTCAGGAGGAACCAGACAATGGAAACCGCCGGCACACCTGGGGGAAGATGGAGGCAGAGCGGGGCTGAGCTCTGGGTGCCTGCGGGGATACCCACAGCGCCCCTCTGCCCCCGGGAACTGAGCGCTTCTTGCTCCCGGGCACCTTTGCCGAGGGCTTTGGCCCATCCAGAGGGACCCCGCTCACCTGGGGAGACCGTCCCGTGGGCTGGCGGGGCCCTGCCCAGCCCCACTCCGAGCACTGGAGCCCATCCCAGCCGGCCCGTCCCTGGAGCAGCCATAAGTGTGACCCCGGGCTCCTGCCGGGACCCAGCCCTGCGTCCCCCACTGTCCCAAGCCCCGGGGTGTTGGGCCCCTGCCCACAGCCCCCTTGAATGATCCCAATCTGCAGCCTTGGACCCCAGCGACTTGTCCAGGTGCCGCGCCCAGCATGGCCACCCCCTTGCCCAGCTCAGCCTCCCAGGGCCCCACTCCCCGGCTCTGCACATCAGGTCCCAGTGCTCAGCCCTGCAGCCAGCTGGTCCCGGGCTGGGGCATGGGGGCGGGCAGGCCACCCGGTGCCTGGGCAGCAGCGAGGTGCCTGCAGGAGCATTGGCGTTTCCTACCTGCGCCTGGCGCCTGCTGGCTCGTGGCCTCCTCCTCGGCTGGCCAGGACTCTGCTGCTGCCGGGAGCTGACTCAGGCACCAGCCAGGGCCCTGCTCCATCCATCTAATCTCTGCGCCTTGGGGGAACCAGCGCAACATCCGGCCCGGCTCCCGCCCTCTGCAGCTGGCTGGGCGAGAGGGGGGACAAGGGGCGAAGGACTCCCTGCCCACTTGTCGCAGCGGCTTGTGGCATTGCCTCAGCTTCCTCCCAGCAGCCCCCAACGCCCTTCATGGCAGGGGTCTCCATGCCACGTGGCTGCATCCTGCTGGGGTTGGCACCAGGGAGTAGCTCCTGCCTGGAGCCCCTAGTCCAACTGAGCAGGGGACGGATGTCTGCGGCCTGACCGGGTGCTGGCGCCCACAGATGCCAAGGCTGGGAGCAGCTGCTGAGCTCAGCTCGGGGCACTGGACCTAGCTGGGCCTTTGGCTGCAGGGGACACCTCACTTCACAGCTTGACCTCTGGCACTGCCCTTCCTGGCAGCCCCAGACCCAGCCCCTGCCGGGTCCCGGTGTCCCAGCAAGCCCCATTAGTCACGGTCTGCTCCTGCATCACAGGGAGGAGAAGCAGACACAGGAACGGCCCCCGGAGCCCTGCTCCTGCTCCCCTGTTTGCAATGACTCAACTGCCCCCGGCGCCTGATCCCGTTCCATGCAATTCCCCTCCTTACAGTGTTAAACCCAACTGACAGATGGGGAAAGCAAGGCACGGGGACTACGTGACTTTCCACTGGTCACCCAAGGAGTCAGTGTCAGAGCCAGGGCTGAGCCCACCTTGCCCCAGCACCAGGCCAGCACTGCAACACCTCCCCGCTCAGCACAGCCGGGCTCTTCAACGCAGCCTCGGCCTGGAGAGGGGGACGCACCTCCCACGCCAGGGTCCGGGCCCCCATCCATCTATCCAGGGGTTGCTTGTAGCTGGTGCTGGCTAGGACTGGGATGAGAGACCACAGCTGGACCCAGCCTGCATTCAAGGTGAGGATGCATGTGCACGGGTGAGCCCAGGGGGATGGGAGTCGGCCGAGGAGATGAGCAGCAAGGAGGGTGGCCCTGGGGTGCCACAGGGGACGTGCCTCCTGCCTCAAACCAGCACCCTCTCCGCCCCAGACACAAGCCCCCGGGCTGCAGGTGGGGGCTCCAGTTGGGGTGAGCCAGTCTCTGGGGCTGGGGCGCAAGATGCCAGCATCCAGACCTGCTCCCCCCCTCTCCCCCCTCCCCTGTTGGGTGCTGCCCCCCGCTGGCCACGTGGAGAACTACCACAGGTTGGGGCGGGGGGGGGCAGCTCCAAAGTGTCCCCTAGACAGCACAGCCCCAGGCAGAGTCAGGCCACGGGCACACGCCAAGGTTTATTTCTCACCGTGCCTTTCCAGCCCCCAAAGAGAACAAGCTGCTGCCCAACACTTCAAATGCCCCAGGAAGGGCAGGAGCAAGTGCCCCCACTCTCCCCACGAGTCCAGTGCACCCCATCGGCAGAGAGAGGAGGACGGCAGCCCCAGCTCGACCTGCCTAGGTCCCAGCGCAGGACCGCCAGCTGTGCCCTAGACTCAGCCTGGCAGGTAGGTGTCAGCCCCCAATGGCAGGGGGGAAACTGAGGCAAGGCAAGAGCTTGTGGCAAGAGGACTTGTCCATGGTCACGTCCAGCTCTCCTGGCTCCGGGTCTTGGCCCCGCTCCTGTTTTCTACCCAGAGGAAGCTGTAAAGAGTGTAGGGGAGAGACAATAGGCACCCGCCCGGCGATGACCTGGCCTGCCCCCGTGCCCTTTCCCTGTGCACCAGGCGTGCTGGGGTGGGCCGGGGAATCATACCCCTGGGGACAGCATTCGGCCCCCGTGGCTCCCCATGCTGGCAAAGCTGCCACGGTTTGAGCCAAAAGACACCCCCGTCCTGGTGCAACACAAACCTGGAGCTAAACTGGGGATGGAGAGCGGCTTGGGATAGGCCCAGGCACAAAGAGCAGGCTGCAGCTAGCCCCTGGGCATGGCGGGAGGCAACAGGTGCTCTGCAAATGCAGCCTGCGGCTGGACTTGTGGGAATAGGCCCCAGCCTCGTGCTGCTGCAGGTGACAGCAGTAACAGGGCTTTTACCCTGCAGGCGGTTGCCCCTAGGAAGCAGCATCGTTGCTCACGCATATGCATGACAAGGGTCCATCCAGACAAGGATGTGGCTCCTGGGGCTCGGCCCGTACCGCAGGGGACGTAGCAGTCGCACTCGCAGACGTCGCAGCGCACGAACCAGCGGGCCCAGCCTGACTGCTTGGTGACGCAGCCCGCGAGGCGGACGCAGCCGTGGGCCAGCGCTGCCCCCGCATGGGTCCTGCCAGTGCACGAGGATGAGCAGTGCCCGTCGATGTCCTGCTCGTTGATCTCGACGCGTCCCCACAGGCAGATCCCTGGTGGGGCAGGGGATGGGGGTGACAGCAGCCTGTTACTGGGGCGCTGGGAAGGAGCCACCCCCATGGGGCTCCTCTCCAGCACCTCGGCCTCACCGCGATGCAGCCCACTCTGGGGTGGAGCGCGGCACTCACGGAGGCAGGAGGGCTTGGGCGTCCAGCGGCCGTCAGCTTGGCAGGCGCTGGCCGGGTCCCCCAGCAGCAGGAACCCGGGGCGGCAGGCGTAGCGCACCACGGAGCCCACCCACCAGTCGTTGCCGTACACCACGGAGTTGAAGTCTGCTTCAGGCCGCCCGCAGTTCACTGAGGACAGAGAGACCTGGGGGCCCCGCTCAGCCGAGAGCACCAGGCCATGGGTCCCTGCCCTGGCACCAGGGGAATGCCAGCGCCACTCCTACAAGGGCTCTGGACCCACAGAGATGCCACAGGTGCATGGCAGGAGCAACCCCTGCTGCAGGCTGCGCCAGGGCAAGGGGACGTGGTGCCGCAGGGTGTGAGTGTACAAGCTGTTGCTGCCACGTTGTGCAAGCCGCAAGGGCATGCATGGAGGCCCCAGTGATGCAGAAGGCTGAGGGCAACGACTGCCATGGCCTCAGGCATGCGAATGTGCCCTGCTCCCTCCCCCGCACCAGCCACACCTGCTCCCCCCAGGTTGCACAGGGTCACTCAGCCCCCTCCAGAGCCCGCGGTGCCCCCGTACCTCACCTCGGCAGAAGGACTTGTACCCCAGCCAGCAGCAGCTGCCGTTCCCGCACAGGCTCCTCTTCAGCTCCTTGTGCTTCCCCTTGCACCCCCCAAGGCACAGCGGGGCCGTGCCGGACCAGTACGTGTCTGGGAGCTCTGCAGCGGGCGCAGAGCAGGACCGAGTTACTGGGCTGGGGTCTCACTCCCCAACACCAGCCTGCCCTGCTCCTCCCAAGCCCCATTTCCCTGCTGGAGCTCCCAGCATGGCTAAGCCAGGCTGCCCCAACCTGCCTGAAGGCATCCAGGCACCGTCTCCTCTTTACCAGCTCTGTGTACCCTCAATAGGCGAGTGGCACCCCGCTCCCAGCACAAGGCAGCACTGGCTCCACGACATGTGGGCCACAGGCCCGGCAGAGGGAGCAGGGCTGGGCCAGGCCACGCTGCCAGCGGCGCAAACACGACGTTCTGGGGAGCTTTGCAAAGGGATGAGTCCTTGCAGCCACCCCTGGCACGCGGCTCGGAAGGCAACAGCTTGCCCACGGCCAGTCCAGGCACCTGCATCTTGACTGCACACAGCCCCTGTGGAGGGTTCAGGGCTCAACCATCCCACCTGGCCCGCAAAGCCCCCAGGGCCGGTGCAGTTCCCAGTCCCGCGATGAGCAACCTGGAGCCTGCAGGGCCTCAGTGACCCAGGCAAGACCTCTCTGCCTTGCACAGCGGGGCGCAGACACCCCCCCTCCCGTGCTGCTCATGCAGTGAGGCCACAGCCCCCAGCTCCCCAGCACTCACCTTCCTGCTCCTGGCTGGCAGCAAGCCCAGCCAGCCCCACAACGAGGAGTCCCAGCCACCTGGCGCCCAAGCAGAGCCCCCTCTGCCCACCAGCCAGCCCCAGCCTGGCTTTAATGCTCCTGGTCCTGCCTCTGCTGGTCTCCAACTGTGCAGGTCATGGGCCCTGCCCGGTCACTTCCCCCCCGGTGCTCCCAGCTGGCTGCCTGGCGGCCCTGCTCCGCCCAGAGCCAGCCCTCTCAGAAGGGGAGCTGTTCCCTTCTGCTCAGCACCGGGTGGGGAGTCACAGCACCTGAGCAAGGACCTCCCATTAATCCCCAGTCTCCCCCCTGCAGATAATCCTAACAGAGATTACCCTGGCCATCAGGCCTGCATTTAAAGGGACACCCTCCTCCACCCCAAACAGGTCACCAATGAAAGCAAAGTCCCATGCAGTAGCAGGCAGCAACATCTTGCTTAGGCCCCACTCCTGGGACAGGACAGGAACTGCCCAGCACTTTGCCCGGGGATGCCCAGGCTGCTTTGGGACAGGAAGAGTATGACAGCTTTGGGCCCAGCCCTGCAGCAGCACCAACACAAGGGATGCTTCCACGTGCCCCAGCCCAGACCGTTTCACGGAATGGATCATCATTACAACTCAAGCCAGCCCTTGCTCATCCCTGCCACCCACTGGGGTAAGTATGGCACCAGTGACGATGGTGCCCTTCCACCACAGGCCTCAGGGCACTTCCAGGCGACGTGGTCGTGGCTGCCTGAGCCATTTCAGCTTCCTCTCCCACAGAAAGTCCCTTGGGAGAGGCATCCACATGCCTGCCCACCTTGTTGTCCAGCACCTGGCATACACGCTGCCCAGGCCCAGAGCGCACATCCCCGAGGCCTGTGGTCAGGGTACGCCTAAGAGCAATGCTTGTGCTGGGTTCGTAATCAGGCAGCAAGCACATGGCCAAAGCTGAACGGAGAGCGAGGCCCCCGCCACCATCCCACGTGGAGCTCCAGGATACGGGACAGAAGCGGCACACACTGCCTCAAGAGGCTGCTGAGGCCAGAACCACAGCGTAAGGACCCCCCGGAGCCCAGGCCCAGCCCTCATGTCCATGTCACGAGGGAGACAAGACACCTGTTTCTCAGCTTCCAACACAGACACTTCCCTGGCTCCCTCCAGGGCCCTCTGCTCACCACTTTCCTGCAAGATGGGAGAATCCATCTGCTCCATTTCCCCAGGCAGCAGCTGCCTGGAGGAGGAGGTGGCTGCTTCCCCACCTGGTCTAGTTGGTGCTACAAGGCCTCACGGTAATCCAGTGAAGCAAGTGGAGACAAAGGTCTGGAGTCCCCTGTGCTAGAAGGCAGCCAGCTTTTCTGCAACTCAAACACAGGGCTCAGACACAGCCCTTCCAGAGCTGTACACAGGTGGGGTAAGAGCTTCAAGCTGCTTAGACCAGTGCCACAGGCCACATGGATGCTCCCCAGGGGCTATGCCAGCTGTGCTGCAGTTCAGCGTAAGCCCATTTGGAAGATTTCTCCCCCACTTTGGGCGGACTACAGCATTCAGCTCCGAGGCCTGTGGTGTCCAGCCAAAGTGGGGCTGCATCCCCAGGACCTCAGCACCAGGAGGCAGCTCCCCAGAAAGAGATCTGAAAGGCACTGGGAAAGGTGGCCAGAGCTGGGGTGGGCACCTCCCAAGCTCATCGCCCACCCCCCGAGTGGAACAGGGGTACAAGTCACCTATGCTGGGCAGAGCTGCCCCAGCTCCTCATGGCTGGGGCTGGGCTCAGGGAGCATGTTCCTTGCACCAAGATCCCAGCCACGCCAGACATGAGCAAG